AAAGTGAGAAGAGATAGGGAAAGAAAATCATTTCTGAAGTTTATTTGAATAATTAACAGACAAAACATGCAACCTGAAATAAGAAAATACACGTATTTTTATACGTTTCTTATTACACTTTTTTAGGATTTCATCTCCCATTTCGACCCTAAGATTTAGTCTTTACATGATAAATAAATAGGTAAAGCACTGACATAGTGAAAAGGTGCAAATTACTACAAATAAGAATATTTATGAATTAATAAGGATATGAAAGCTTCAAAGTGATGGTGGCAGTATCTGTGGTTGTGATGATAACGATAATATAAGCAATACTTATGATAAGATTAAAAACAAGTAAATCTAAGTAATACTATTGTAAACCGTTAAATAAAAACATCAAACGATGAACAAGAGTGGATATTCAAACAGGATCTAAAGAAATAAACAAAAGCAAATATAAATATCAGCAAAGGAATAGTACCGTTCAAAGAAAAAAAAAAGTCTAAATAAACAACATTGTCCAACGATAAAATTGCCTTAAAAAAAAGAAAAAAAAGAAAAGCTGAATACAAATTTCCACTAAAACATCGAAATTACACCTGAAACAACAACAACAACAAAAAAAACTTGGAAACTCACATGAATTCCTAGCTACCGGCAGAAGACGCTGGAGTTGATCCTTCGCGCGAGGCACAAACACCCTCCCATCTTCTCCAATCGTCAAGGAAGCGAGGGATTCAAAATCACTTGTTCTTAAGGGAAATTCAGGTCCGTCGGGAATATAAGGTATGTGGGTCGTATTTACGTTGCTGGTTGCATCTCCAGCTGCCAGAGGGACGACGGAAATGGCAAAAACCCAGGCTATACTTGTTGCTAAGAGGGACATGATGGGCAAAGGACGTCTCTGTTCGGCCTAGAAATTCCCCGGAGAGAGGGTATCTATTAGAAATAAAATTATTTGACGAAAAGAAGAGGAAAAACGTTTACAATAGACTTCAGTTGATAAAATAAATTCCGTTCTGAGAGGAACTGATTTTTTTTTTCTGTTAATAAGCTGTTTGATATGAAAATGAGATCATTACCATAATCGCCTCTGGTTACAACATTAAAGATTCTTCGATTACTCATAGTAACAGTAAGAAAATCATACGATTATTTTCGTTTTTTTTCTCTTTAATTATAGATTGTAATAACGTTTTGGATAACCGATTTTATGATAATGAAGAAATTTAAGCGTGTAATAAAAAATTATGGTCAATTTTATGGCATATAATAAATATAATTATGTATGTAAATCCTTAATATCGGTGCTGGCCCATAGGTATTCATAATGAAAATTACAACATAATTTTTAACATAACGTAAAATTAGCCAGAATGATATTGATTTTTTTGGGCAATGCCAGTTGGAGACAATGAAAAGATTTTTTAAAATATGATATTGATAATGATTATGATAATGATAAAGACAGCGATAAAAACTGGTAATCCATACAATAATAACAGTGAATTTATTAATGACAGATATATAAGGGGACACATGGTAACAATAAATAAAATATTACAAGAAAGTACAAAATTCAAATACCTTGGGAATTACATAAAACTATACGTGATGAGATAATTGATTAGCAATTATACATTTTTGTTTTTTTTAAGTCGTAGCCTTGAACTTTGAATTTTGAAAACTTGAGACTATATAATGCACTTCACGCTTTTAGAGTTACGTTACACATTCAAATTTAAAACACTTATTGGGTGACGGAAAATTCATTTTGTTATAGTTGCCACGATGGAATATCCTATTTATAAGCTTGTTCTATTCAAGTGAGAAACCGAAGAAATCTTTTAAGAGAAAGAAAAAATAAAGAAAGATAAAAAAAAAAAAAAAAACATATCAAAACATTCAAGTTATATGAACTGGTAGCCAATACCTCATAATTTTGAGTTGGAAAATTTGTTGAATGACATAGATCATGACACTGCGAAATATGAATCCAAGACATAAAATCACTTATCTGGTTACTAAGGTTATGTTTATTTATTTATTTAATGCCGTTTATTTTGTGTGAATCTGATGGTCCGTGAGAATATTTAAGTAAACAAAAGGGGAATACAAACTAAATGAAAATCGTAGTTTACATCATTAGTTCCTAAAGTAGGAAAGCTCTGAGGGAGGGGGGGGCGCAGCATGGCATTAGCAGTGAATAACTTTTTTTTTTATAATAACAATAATATTATAATGAATTTATTTTATTAGTGAAATACATATTTGTGTTTAATCTTGTTTTCAATTTGAATAAAAAAAAAAGTGTTTGCATGTGTATGAAGCGGGGGGGTGGGGGGAAGGAATCCACCTGGAAGCCAAAACGGCGCCAGCCTGGAAAAGCTTGGGAACCACTGATTTAGATAGTTCATTATAACAGTTTACCACACATTAATAATGCACTCCCGGAAGACCTAAACACACAAGTATGCCTTCCAAAATGCGACTTTCATGCTCGCACATCCTAAGGGAT